TCTGGTTTCCGCCAAGTCTGCGGCTTGTCCGCCATCCTGTTTGTGTTGTACATGGGCAGAATAGACAGGAGCTGCCAAGGCGATGAAGGTATCGATGTAGGAGATGTGAAATCGAGAAGGCTGGTGTTTGCAAACCACCTTGTTTCATGAGCATCTTCTGAAAGTGATCTTCAGTGCTCCCTAGAAAGATTCGCAGCCGAGCGCGACGTGACCGGCATGCGTGTGAACACAGCTAAAACGAAAAGCCTCGTGCTTTCTCGTTATCCTGCCCGTTGCTCTCTTCGGATTAACGGAGAGGAAGCGGAGCAGGTGGAGAAGTTCAGTTACGTCGGAATTGTATTTCCTAGTGATGGAAAATTGGGGGAAGAATTCGACCGGCTAATTGGAGTAGCCAGTGGCGTTCTCGTGAAGTAGCCTGACCCACTGAGACTAAAGCAGAGCTCGGTCTGAAAATGAAATTCTTGATATTCAAGTCGATCTTCATTCCCATAATTACCTACGGTCATGAGTTGTGGACCATGAATGAAAAACTTCGAACCCGGCTACAAGCTGCTGAAACGGGCATTTTGAGAGTAGTCGCTGGCCTTTCGTGTCTCGACATGGTCCGGAATAGTGATATCCGGAAGAGCCTTGGAATACAGCCTTTGCTTCTCCAGATTGATTCACAGCTGCGATGACTTGGGCATGTGTTGCGAATGCCTCCAGAAAGGAAAGCTAAGCAACTTTTCCTTGCAAATCTGATCGGCAGAAGGCCCAGGGGATGGCCAAGATTAACCTGGTGCAAACATATGGAAGGAGTCTGTTCCAGACTGCGTTTGTCCTTTGCCGAGGCTTAGACTCTGACCAGGATCGGGAATGTTGGAATCTCAGTCTGACGCGTCTGCCTCCACCACCCGACAGGAGAAGCGGCCATGGAAGATAGATATCTCCTAGCTAGCTAGCAGCAAAGGGACAGGTGGCAATCGCTGTGTAAATCCGTTTACGCGATACGATGCTGTTTCTCCTGGCGACATCGAAAACTATCATTTCAGCAACTGAAGCCACAGCCCCGGAGTCATCCTTACTTTGTATGAGGACCTATCACCTTTACTCTACAGGTAACCTCAAATTTTAGTCTGTAATGACTTTAATTCTGTGTTTTTGACATATGAATTTAGGTAGGGATTGTCTTGGATATGAAGCTTTGTGGAAATCAACGCTCGAAAGTGAAGCTATATCTACAAGCAATATTTCAAAGTCTGTTAAGGCCATATTTCACGAATCAAAGGTATTGCGATTGAAAGAGACTACCACATACATATATGTGTATTTGCTATGATCACTTCGAGCCGCTTGCATCTGCCGTATATCAATATCCGCAGCAATCGAGCACTCTTGTTCGAAGGCAACGGCCATTGCATTGCAGAAATAAATATTACTTTCCTAAGGCAGATTTGCCTCTTCCTTATTCCTCAGTGTTTCATATTGACTTCCTGTCGTGTTTCAGCTTCCATGCAAGAAGCTCATGGGCTACACTAAATGATTTATGCCTAATTTATTGATTAGAAATAATGTCCACTTTCTAATCTCCACATATACTGAAATCATCTTTATCCGAACAAGATATAATCATTCCTTTTGTAGTCTTCTCGTTTAGCCCTGATTATGCGTCGAAGCCAATGCTACTATATGCAGTTAACCATCGTTTTTTGTCCTTCGTTAGAATAGCGACGTCCATGCCGCACAACAATATTGACCATAAGGCAAGGCACATTCTTATGAAAAGAAATACTCCTTTTCCAGACCAAACATTGAACAGTTTTCAAAAAGCACTCAACCATACGTCGATTTTCCTATTTAATTCGTATTAGATGACACTGTCCATGGGGATGATGAAACTGAGATAATTAAATTGGTCAACCTTTCTATTCCATTTGCTAAGCAGCTACGTCGGATAAATTCCTCATAATGTTTGACTATTGGGGAATAAGGAAGAGTCTTGGACTACTACGATGCTCGGTCTGATTTAATCGTTACGTAGCTGCATGTATTCTGTGATAAATAATAACTATAATAGTGTGTCTCCCTTCTGTTTTTATAGAATACTGCGTAACAAGCTAACGGACGCCACTCTGTACTTACTCGTTCTAGCTGAAAGGATTATGGAGGAGCAACGACCTTCTGCTACTGCCATTCAGCGGAGAGCAAAATCAGAATTTTACTGAAGCTGTTTCACTGACTGAGAATTTTTAGAACTGGATGGAATTCATGCGCTGGTGCCCTTACTCAGACTTAACAAGAGTAGAAGACGTTTTGCAACTATGATATATAGCTTCTTGTGCATGTCGAATTAAACGAGAATACGATATTCTCACTCAACTGGTGCATTGCCATAATGGCCACCAATCTTCTTGACGCTGAAGACTGGTCTTCAGGCTATACGGCCACCGGCAAATGTGGCAGTTTAACTATATGCTCGTTCCCTGGCCTAATTTAAAAATCTTGACGGGCAGCCAAAAGAATATTTTTCCCATTTAGAATGATTAACATAATCTCTCCAGCATATGGAAGCATCCCCATGTCTCTCTACGATGCTGTTTAGCAAGGAGATTACTCGATTAATTTGAACAGTAAGAAACTGCAACCACACTTATTAAGGAAACGTAATATAAAACACGCCATATAATAGCACAAACATATTGACGTGCAAATAAATAACAAATATGAAACATTTAATTGATATCATCGACTGCATCCTGCTTAGAAAGTTCGATTGCCAAAGACTGTACCGAACAAACGATCTTGTCCATTTCTTCCTCCAAGTCGTATTGTGCCAATACCTTCCCACAGCCACGAATTTTCAAGGTGATTATTCGCTCTAGCTCATCGATGATGACCAGGGTTAATCTACCTATGATTTCGCGCATTGTGATGAATAGCTTATTGAACTGAAGGAGCCATTGCACACTGTGATCACTGATGTGACACTTGTCTAGGTTTTTGCGCACCACCTCCTGTCGTGACACCACCTGTTCGTCCATTCGGATGAGATTGGGTCTGATTTTGAGGCTGAGCTCTCGCAAGAGCGTGTGGTAATGTTCCCTTTGACCGTGACACACCACTACGTAAAAGTCATATACATACGTTAGCATGCTCTTCAGATGCTCGATCATCTGTTGGCATTGGACTTTCAACTGTGTATTCTCGACCACGGGATACACGGATGTGCTGTCAGATATACCTGATTCTGATGTAGCCGCATTTCGGTCCATAGGCGACACGGCACTCACAACAGTGTTCATCGAACTGTCGTCCATGTCGCTGGTGGTTCCGTCGAACACGCTACCAGAACTTCTGTGTGACCATCTGTCCCATCGATCAGAGGAAAACTTCGCAGTGTAACTGTCCTCTGAAAACTGATCTGCATATGACGCCTTCATTGCTGCAAGTGCCAGCGTTTGGTTGTTCCCATCGTCTGAATACAAACGTTTTACAAGTATAATTAGCAGCTAATCAGAAATTTTCATTATAGAAGTCACATGACAAACAACAGCATATGCGTAACAAACAGCATGGGAAAGGGGTAATGCCTCAGCGGTACCAGAAGCTAGCACACTCTCCATTTGTTCGTCCATATATCCATTCATCAATCTTAACAGGCACCATTCCTCGAGAGTCACAATCGGTCTCGTCGTTCATCTTTTTGAGCTACATAAGAACACCTTAGTGGGAAGGAAGCAAATAGAGTATACACTACAGTAGTCGCCAAGTAATAAATAAGGCCTTAAAAACAACGCACTACTGGTTAATAACGCCTTAAAAACAAAGTATTCATCGCGAGTATTCTTCTAACTTCCTGATTGTATCTCATTTGCGATCTCTTAATCTTGTCGCTGCTGTTATGGCCATCATCATCAATGGTTTAGCCTAGTTCCGAGGGTTCAGTCTGGAGGAAATGCCCAATTTTTATTGCAGCCCTAGTCGTAATTT